AAGATCTGTACGCACCAACGTGAGGGGGAGTATTGGCGTGAGCTGTAAAACTAGGGGATATCCCTTGAATTTAGGGATAAATCTCAACCTAAGTTGTATGTAACTAGGAGAGGTAGAACCAGAATCTATGTATAATTAGGAGATGTTTGTATTATGAGTATATATTTCTCAACCCCTGCAAAGAAAAAACACAAGAAGAATAGAGGAAGAGTTTCTCATTCTACTCAAGTTATCAGATAGGGGGTGGGGACATGCCAGACGGAGTCAAGAATTCTTTTTTTGGGGAGGGGGCAAGTTAAACAAGAAAATGAGATAGGGAGTAGCCGGGTAGAAGAAGTAGGGTTTGGGGAAAAATGGAGTAAGAAGGTTAGAGTCAATTACATATTTTTAAAGAAAAAATATATATATTTTTAAATTTCTAGAGTTAGAGGAGGTTAGAGAGTGATCCTTTACATTTTAGTTCAGTTTTGGTGGGGCTAAAGACCCACTTTATTATGTTTTGACCCAGCCTCCTCTTAGTAACCATATATAAATATCAGTTTTAAGAAAAAGTTTTTTTTTTGGGGGAGGACCCCCTCAATATATTTGGCTCCGCCCTTGTAAAGCAATAAGCTTTTAAGTTAGCATTTTCAGCTGTTATGAAACAGCCCCTAAACCCAATTAGAAGGTTTAGAATGGTTAGTCCATGTTTGGGAGTACTTATTTGATAAATAAGTGCTTATCCTAATAAGCGTTCATGAGTGTTTGATAGCAAAACACTTATTTCAGACAGGGGTAATATAGGTATTTTCAAAATGACATGGCACGCCAAGATAGGCCAGAAAGAAAATAAACAGTTGAGAAGTCCCTTAGCATAGCAGGCTAGTGGTGGCAAATTACATGCATGTGTGGAGTATATTGGCATTTACCACATGGAGAGCCTTTGAGCCTCAAAGGAGAGATGTCGAGTGACCAAATGAATTACTGGATCATTGGCTATGTCTGTATATACTGTAACTATATATCATATACGTTAGGGGCCTGAACTGAATGAGCACGGTGAAAGAGGGCTGCCCAGCCACAACTCACAAGTGGGGTCTTTGTTAATGCCTTAGCTTTCTTTGTTGGCTGTTGCCAAGGCATTGGAGCAATAATGCTACCGGAAATTACACATCTTACTCGGTTAGGAGGTCCTCTTAAGCTCCATATATTCTTTCACATCGTTAGCTGCGGATGGGCCGGATCGGTTCGGCTAAGGGGTATATCCGGATTTCACTGTATTAATTCCCACTCCGATGACAGCTCCATATCTTTGCCTCTGAGAAAAGCTCTCTCAAGCGGTTTATGTTCCATTGATCTCTTCCAAATAAATAAAAAAACAAAAAATATACACCAACTATTCTTTCTGAGTATAAAAGCTAGTTTTTTTTTTTTGTGCAACACAAACTCCGATGTGCCACCCTGTTCTTTCCTAGCAAAAAGAATATAAAATATACCCCAATTCAGTTTAGGTTGGTGCAGGGTTAATACATCGAATTAAAAGTGAGATTGGGTTTAGGATCATAGCTAGGGACTTGGGATTAAGGGTTGAGCTAGACTAGCCCCTGCATTTGTACACTAAACAATCAGCGTGTAACAAACGTACAGATTTTACATGGGCTGGACTAACGAGATGCATCTCCTGCCAACTAAAAACATTCGAACATGACACGAATTGGGATCTTCTACCAACAGAACATATTCCAACCTCTATCAATTTGATCTAACACCGCACATCTCATCATGAGATTGGGACTCATCATAACAAAAGTGGAATCCACCATGTATGAGATGTGTGCTGTGGAAACGTTTTTTGTTGAAAAACTTCCCAAGCTTGTAAAGCGGGATGACAACGACTCTAGCTGCCAGCACTCAGCAGAACCCAACTATAGCGGATTTGTTTTCCTTTTCCAACTCAACTGTTCAATCACAGACTTACTGAATCAGATCCCGTTGAATTTCTTTTCATGGCAAGGATCAGGATCCCTGCAATCAGCAATACAAAACAAATAATCCACTCTGTTTGAGGAATCTAAATATTTTGGATACATATGTAAGAAAAGAGGAATCGAAAAATTTTATAATTTGTTGCTTTGGTTGAGTGGAATAAAACCATTTGCACTCTTTAACTATTAGATCTGGATAGGGGTGTGGAGAAAGATCAGATAATTTCAGGATTCCTATATTAACAAGAGTTGGATACATTCAAGATACTTTACCTTGCATTGTTTTCATAATAATAAATAAAAAAAATCAGAAGGAAAACAGGAAAAGATAGAATCAGGCCGAGACAGACGAATGCCCAATGGGCACCCAAAATCTACTTCCCCCTACAATACAGAATCAATTATGAAAATACAAAACACGAAAACCCATCAAGACACTTTCCCTTCACCAGATAACATTCCTTATCTTTGTTGTCAATTGGATTTTATTTGTAGCTCCTTTAGTTTTCAAAACTTCTATAGCAGTTTAGTTCCATGCCAAATCTTTCTCCATTCTTCCTTTAAATTTCAAGCTTGTATTGTGGTCCTGGATCGATAAGAGATCTCAACAAAAATCTCTAGTCTGAGGTAGCTTTCTTTTCAATACTTGATTTGCTAAGTATGAAAACACCGAGTACAATGAAGAGTGCACCTATAAACCACTGCAAGACGTATAAGATTACGTCAATGCAAAAGAAAATTATCAAAACATTAATAGCTAGCCTAGGAATCCTCTGAAAATAGGTCTATACTTAGTTTTCATGTCCAAGCTTGAAATTACTTTAATATCACGTCAATGCAGAAGAAAATTTTCCAGACATTCGTAACCGGATATTGAATGAAAATGGGTGTTTAACTTTCATTTCCAAAAGCATTGTCATAATAGTTTGGAGAAGAAATACAGTCAGGACAGGGGATTGGAAGAATCATGGAGAAAAACAGCCTCATTTTATGTGAGCAAGCAATTAGAAAATTCTGTATCACCAGACCATGATAAACGTAACTTTAAGGCTAAAAATGTGATGCCTATAAAGATCTAATCATCTGCACAAGAGATGTATAGATCCCTACGGGTATCTTGGTGATATCTTTTTATTTGATGTTTCAGATGCATAATGACAACCACTTAATGCAGCCTCCAGATCAAAACCACTCTAATCAAGGGTTCTAATTGATAATACAAGTGTTTGAAATTCTCAGGGGAAGTTGATGTCTAGGCAACAACTGTCTATCAATGTTTTAAAACTGAACTAGATACCCATTGCCAAAATGCTTGGTCTGGCGGTTCATGGTCTAGCAGTTTGACTGTCCATTTTGAACAGTTACACACTACAAACAAGAAGCATGCATACACATACACACTAACAAAGAACACAGAGCGGATAAAACTAGATATTCATGAGAAATATATATTTTTTTTCCATCATAACTACTCGTAATAGAAAATGGGAGTCTAAACAAGGGTTTACCAAGGAAAAATTAAGGTGACCTGAACTGTTTTTGAGATTGAACGATTGCCCGAACAATTCAATCACTAGTTCTTGTTCTGTTATCAAAATGTTTTTGTATCAACCTAGCAATTGGAATTAGACTATGTTAGTTGGATAAAGAAAAATTAGATATTTGAACGACCATTTTGCTACTAGATATGTAAAGTAATGAAAGCTTTTGTTTTATAGAAACAAATGCATTTTGATTTTTTTTTTAAATACATTACATACATTACACAGTAAATACATTTTGAATTTTCTTTTATCTTCTGGATGGTAAGGTGCTATATCAAATCCTTTGTCTGCAAATATGGCCAGTCAATTTGGGAAGAGTACAAATACAAATATGTAAAGTGCAAATACAAGGATTAGAAATACAAAATACAAGGTTTTGCAATGTACATATTTGTATTTGCACCCTTCCCAATTTGGAAGGAGTACAAATACAAATATGTAGAGTGCAAAGCCTTGTATTTTGTATTATTTTGTATGCATTTGTACTCTACACATTTGTATTTGTACTCTTTCCAAACTGAGTCTTTTTATTAATAATGCAAATTTGCATACACTAATGTATGCAGTTGGTAAGTATCCTCGTTAGATGATTATGTCACATAGGTTATCTTAGTTGGCAGTGCAAATTAAACTGGATGCCAAGTTTGCACCTGGTTCGGATTTGCATGCATTTTTTTTTTGTAACCATGGTTTGCAGCCCTATCTGATGGGCAGTGCAAATTTTGCATCCCAAAAGCTGATGCAAAATTTTTTACCACATTCTCCCTGCCTTCATGCTCTCTCTCATATGAAGTGTGGACCACAACATTTTGCTTTCCACTTTACTCCTCCCAAACAAACAAAACAAAGTAAAACATTAAAAAAAAAAAGTAAACTAGAATTGCACTCAGCCCATCTGCACCTTGCACTGCAAACAAATGAAGCCAAAGGAATTGGAAAGAGACAATTCAATTATGTAACTGAAGCTGCTGTGAACAAGTAGATGAGTCACAAACAAAGAACTAGCCTTTATGATGTGTCACTTTGTTTCCTAAATGTGTAATTCAGATTGAGTGTCTGCAAAAGGGAAAGAGTAAATCTGCATAACTATATCATTTTCTGGAATGTCGTCTTTTGGGTTTTGAGACATCCAGTCAATGAATCCATTTGTTGACTTTGGACTACTATGAATGTGGTAATAAATTTTAGTCAACAATAATGCAAGAAATGCAAAACTGTCACAGCTGTTATGCTGCACAGTACAACAAGTACAGAGTACCAGGGCTACATTCAAGCAAAGCCAGTCGCTTCTTGGGATCTTCAAATGCCATAGGCCCATAGTATATGTATATCTAAGCATGAAGTTGACTCCTAAGTAATTCAAAGTTGGTTAAAGCGATCAGTTGTACCCTAAAAAGGAAAACAACAGAACATTTTTTGACTCATTTAGAAAAAAAAAAGAAAAAGAAAAACAGAACAAGGCATAGGACAGAGCAAAGGTGATATGGTGGGATTAATAAAATGCAATATGAGCTGCCTAGCAAAAAAATATAACAATGAGATAATGATTATCAACCTCAGCATTCTGCTTGTATGATAGCCCCTAGATGGCATGATGCATGCCTATGAGGTAGTTTAACTGGTCATCTTCCGAGTTCTTCTATATTAAATCAATATGTAAATTCTTTGCAATAAAAAACACTCAAAATTTGAGTACAAGCACAACTAAAATTTCTAATTCGAAATTTTTTGGTCTTGGAAGCATGATTTTTTTATAAGTATCTTGGGAGCATGACTGAATGCACATACGTTGACATTCATTTGAAGGGCAAAATTGGTTACTGGTCAGTCTTCTGAGGTGACAGCTAAGGATTCCACTGCCAATAAAAAAAATACTCCAAGGGTTTTACTTTATATGTCAATAGTTTTCTAGGTAGTCAGAACTAAGATGAAGATGAGTCACCAGGAGTACATCATTTGTATTATACCTGAAAGGATAATGCTTCTCCAAAAAGGAAGAATCCTGCTAGACCAGACGAGAGAAAATTGGTGGCGAAGTTTGTGACTGTAGCTTGAAGAGACGAGAGAGATTTCAGGCTGTTTACATAACATCCCCACATTGCCACATTGAATAGTATAACAAGGCCATATTTAATTAACTGCGAAACAGACAAAAAATTTGATGTCAAACATGTCATGTGTAAACAATAAGTCTATAGACGCTTATGCTTTACCCTGTGGTTTCAAATGTTTACACGGTATAATTAATTTTCAGGTAAAATCTCAGGGAACACATCTGAAGATTTCACAATATGCATACAAATTTCCAAAAGATAAAGATGTGAAGAAATTACAAAAATATGCAGTTGTTGATGATCTAAGATTGCTGCATAACTCATTTGAAAGAACAAACTAGAGATTTTTAAGACTTCAATTGTTCACATGTAAACCTTTAAAAAACAGTAAAAGCACTTATAAAAAAAAGCTAGTAAAAGCTATGTTACATGGGAATGGAAAACATTCATCTTGGTGACATGGTTATAGAACCTAGCATACAATTTGAAGTGTTGGAAACTGGTGCGCCATAATTTTGTTCATCTTGATTCTTGAAGTAGATTGATAGTATGGATCAAGTGATAACATTATTCACAAATATTTCATTGGGCCTAAAAGTTCATAACTCAGAAGCAGAAAAATCTCAGCTCAGGGCAATTTGATAAACTTATAGCATCATTTGCCGGGGTTTGATATCTCAGTCTCAGTCACAATACTCCACTTGGTTGGATCTAACACTGATATGAGCTGTTTCATTATTCATGTGAGATAAGATTTCCCCAATTCTCTTGAACTACATATACCAAAACAAGATTATAAAAGCTCAACTATATTGGTATGGAACCAAAACCCTTTTTATGGGACCTCTGTAAAGTGTAAACTAACCCTTGTAATAAGCTAGGCAATATCTGAATCGAACATCCTGTGGTGGTCAAACACTTCATTCAATTGTTCAATGGGTAATGCCGGTTGCATAGCTTGGTTTTTAGTTATTTGTTTAGGGCAAAACATAGTCTTTTATGGTAAACCATATTCTTCACTTTGTTACAATGGGTCATTTTATCTCAATAATATACCTCCTGTCAAGCTTTCAACATATTACTAGATTGCTAGTCATACTATATATCCCAGGTTACTCTCGTGATACTTTGAAACACGCAATGGAAAATTTCCTTTCAGCCCAATACACCAGAATTGCTGGCTTAAATACTTGATTGCTTCTATATACTCCCCTAAATGAAAGATATAAATTCTAGAATTTCACCTTATATTTTGTAATGCTATTGGAAAGATCAAATTATTTTTTTGTAAGAGAAAAAAACAAATAAATGGAATTTACCACAGAAATCAAATTGGCCAAGAAAAAAAGGAAAGGCCGCTGATTGCTAAATCGGACCTAAAGAAGAAAATCAACATACTTCTTCTTGGTAAATATAATCAACATATAGTCGTACAAGTTTGGTCCAGACCACGTGATTATACAGAAAGATAATCTAGGACCGGGAAGTGTAGAACCGCTATATACTCCCCTAAATGAAAGATATAAATTCTAGAATTTCCACTGCAAACTAAATCTGAAATAGTCAAGTAATTCAGAAGGAAAATGAGGCGACAAACATAATAATCTTATATTCTTACCAAAACAGAAAATCGGTAGAGATCCGTGCATCTCAGTGGCATACAAGGGTTTTAATCAAAGAATCAGTTCAAAAGTTCAGAACATAGATACCTGAGCAGAGAAAAGCTTTGCAGCAATGGCAGCTAGAGCTGCGTTGAATCCGGCTGAAACAGCAAATGCATAACCACCGGTCTTCTTACATTCCATTTGTGCTACTCAGCCAGGGAAAGCAGTCGAAAAACGCGATTCAGAAATCAGATCCCATATGGTTAATGACAATTTAATGTTCTATCAATGCCATAACGGGTCACGAGTCACGACCCAAACGGATGCGGATGCCCTAAAATGGGTCGGGTTTGGCACAAGAGTGTGCTTAACGTGAACAGGGCTTGACCATACGGTCCATACCTGACCTGATAGGTGATAACTGGTAGCTACTAGGGATGCTTGGGCGGGCCTAAATCGATCCCCACCGGCTAGCCCCTAGGTAACCGGAGCATGGCTCAAGCCCAACCTGACCTTATAGCTCAACCCAAACCCAGCACAACTGCACACATTCATAAGTATATATAATACATATATTTATGCATACACATATATACATATCCATGCATACTTATTTGCAAAATACATTAAATTACTATTTAAAGGTTTAAAATTAATGATACTAAACAGATTTATGCAACTTCTTAGCACCAAGGATTAAAGTATCGGTATTGAGTATCATATTAAACAATTTGGATATAGATATGGATACACTTGAGGAACACATGGATACAGACAAAAAACTTGAAAACGTTTGAATACATTAAGGAAATGTATACACATTCCACAAATATATTAATAATATTAAGTTTAATGTCAAAATAACTATAAATAATATATAAATACATAGAAATTGTATATTTAAATGATATATATGAAGAAATATATTATAATTAAGATAGTGGGACACGTTGATATTATACAATTTTATTAATAATGCATCAATTAAGAGTCTAAGGCACATATTATATAGTTTTTTACAAATTAATATATGAAAAAAACCAATATTTTTTTATTATCTATTAAAGTACAAGGCATAAAGCATATGCGACTATTATATTTGAATTATTATATCATTTTTTATATTTTTATTTTTTAACATTAACAAAAAATTTAACTAAAAAATTAATTCTCAAATGTTTGGTAAACAATATTTTTATTTTTGTAAACAATAAACATGTTATTATAAAATGTATTTTTTTTGGTGAAGTATTATAAAATGTAAATTAAAATATCAATTAATAATTTATAAAAATATATACTCTTAACTTAAAATATATCAAATCTATTAAAAATTTGAAGATTCACATCATATGAAAAATCATAATTTTTAATTACTAAAATAATTATTCCATTATTAATATTTTATTTTTATAAAATTTATAAATTAAAGAATTATTTTTATATAAAATGTAGATTAATGGATTTGATAGATTCAATTTATATTATATTTTCTAATATTTTGTAAACAATATTTTATTTTTGTAAATAATAAATACATTGCTTTTTATGTAAAATAAAATAATAATTAATAATTTATAAAAAAATTGAGATATATATCATGTGAAAATTTATCAATTTTAAGTATTAAAATAATTATTCTATTATTACTCTCAAAAAGTAATTATTCTATTATTAATATTTTATTTGTATAAAGTTTTGAAATAAAAATTCATTTTTTTATATACATGTGGGTTCTATAAATTATTTATTTTGTTGATTTATAAAATACTAATTTTGAATATTGTTCCTTTTAATTTGTAGTTAGAGTAGTTAGAAATAAATGTATGTTTTTTTTTTTGGTTTGCATGTAGCCATTAATTTTAATAAAACTTAGGCCTCATTTGGTTCATAGGAATAGGGGTCTAGAATCAGAATCGGAACGGGCTATTCCGACCATTCCGATTCTAACTGTTTGGTTGGGCAGAATTGGAATCTCATTTCCATTCCTGCTAGAATGACATTCCCCTATTTGAGGGAATGACCATTCCCTGTTTCTCCCTTGGGAATGAAATCCCATTCCTGTTGATTCCAACTCCCATTCCCATTTCTATCTGAACCAAATAGACTATAGAAATAGGTGATTTCGATTCTAAAAGATTTTGATTCCGATTGCAAACCAAATGAACCATTAATTTATTACACTTGTTGACATGAAGTAAGAAGTGGCTTTGTAAGGGTACTTGCATGCTTGGACATTGACCAATCTGTGTTCAAATTATGATATTCCTCGTTTTTATAATAAGTCGTTGAGTCATTTGTTGTAAAACCAGGATTGATATACTTTCATATCAATGCATATCGGTTGATACTATATGATATGCATTGATATAATGATATATTAGACCGATACACACAACTAACAAAATACGGTGGCATATTTTAATCCTTTCTTAACACCTAAGCCTAGCAAGCTCACTTGGGGTTAGTTCGGACTCGGGCTTCAGTCCAACTCGCCTCACTTTACCTTTAATACTCGTTTCAGCTTGACTTTACCTTTCATACTCGTTTCATGAATCCCACTTTGTAAAAGCCGAGGTTGCTAGGTCAATAATGGTACGACACATCTACTTTACATTTAGCTTGGGAGTGTTGTATTCGGAGTTCACTAAGGATCAAAATATTGATAAGCTCAAAACATATGTGGTTTTATATGTAACACTAAAGATTACATATGTTCAAAAGGGTAATTTTGGTAAGGTATTGATTGAAACTAAAAACCCTACCATTAATTCAATTAAAAAAAAAATTTCATATTGTTTTTAGCTTTCCCCTCTTCCTCTAACCTTTTCGTTACTGTAATAGTAGCTATGGATGAGCATGAGCCAGTTCAGTTCGGTTTCATGATAAAACCTGGAACCTACTCTGTATTGTAGGGGCCGGTTTCAAGTTTTTGGAATCGGAACCTACCTTGGAAAGGTTGGCTCTGGCCTTGGCAAATCTAGGATTGGTTACCTGGTCTACCCGTGGAACCTATTCTGTCTTTATCATTTCCCTTCAAAAAAGAAGATAAAGCATATTCTTTTAAAAACTTGACTTTCAATAAATATAATATACAGTTTAAAACTTATATTATATTTATTGATAAAATTGAGTAATTTAATGTGTAGATTATCATGATATATTAATGTATTGTTAAAAACATAAATATTAACTTTTACATTATTTTTTTATACACATTCAAATATTAAAATGGAAACAAATGATCAAATCACTTAACTCAATGGTAAAGTGAGATCATGGCCTTTGTAACCATGAGTGCTTAGGTTTAAATCTTTACATCCTCAAAAGTTTTTTAGGCTGAATTTGGAAGGAGTACAAATGCAAATCTGTAGAGTACAAAACCTTATATTTTGTATGTATTTACTCTGTATATATTTGCATTTGTACTGCTTCCAAACTGAGCCTTGGGGTTTATTTCAAGACAAATTTGATTCCAAGACCGGTTCCACAAAGGCTGATTTGTTGGCTCAGTTTGGATAGGATAAACTCTTAGACCCTAGAATCGGCCTGAGTGGAGGTCAATTCCTAGAATTTGGAACCAGACCCTACCCTGTAACAAATTGGGTAGGATCGGTTTAAGATAAATTCTATTCTATTCCAGGTAGAACCTATCCATTTGCTCACCCCTAATAGTAGCTAGGCCTAACTCTTAAGGGCTTCTCTTTTGCTTTTCTAAGTGAATTCTACGTTTCTTCGGTCTTCACCCAAGTCGTAAAATCTATGCCATTTAATGGCAGTGGCAATCGGTAGCAGTGCCGACAACGACGATTTTGAGTCTCTTAGACTGAACCATTTAAGAAAGGCATTGGCACTATGGCAACGGTTTTTAGGCTCTTAGACTCAAACCTGTCCAAGAAGGCAATGATTGTGAAACTGTGAGTATGAAGGCTTTGTAGAGTCCTCTATATTTTTTTTCCTTCTTTCTTTTTTTTTTTTTTTAATTTACGAAATCATGAAGATACTTAAGTTTTAGTTTTCCATACGCTTCATTTCATAGGATTTGTATATTTGATATTTCAAGCTCATTCCCAGGCTCACAGTTTGGAAATAGTACAAATGCAAATATGTAGAGTGTAAAATTTTATAATTTATATTATTTTATAAATATGTACAGCATAAATATATATAAAATAATATAAATGATAAAATTTTGCACTCTACATATTTGCATTTATACTCCTTCCAAACTCAGCCAAATGAAGTTGCTCTTGTCTTGGGTCTGCAATTGCTTCAATCTGCAACCACTTTGTCTCCTTTCTCAATCACAGATTGAAACTCAAGGTATAATGAACAGCTGAAGGTATATCTTTTCAATATTTGTCTCCCTTCAATTTGCAATTTCTTCAAAACCACCGGCCCTCTATGTTTCGGTGCGTCAATGTGTCTTCATATCTTTTTCCTTGGATCTGACATTCTGGTATTAATATGAATAGAACTGTAGACAACTTTTAATTCCTTTGAGTCTACCTTTGGGGCTGGGGCAGTATCGAACCCCAATTTCGTACTGTCGTGAATTGCAACCATACATCTCTCAATTCATAATAGAGATGTATGGCTGCAATTCACGACGAGTAGAGAGTGGATAGAAAATGTAAGTAGGAAATCCCGTTTGGGCAGTATTAAGTTCGGGACATGAAATCCGGCCAGGTGGAGTGAGAATGTGAGATGTAACAAGATCAAAGGTATTAATAAAAGTACTAAAAATTAGAATGATAGAAACCAAAAAAATAAAAAAATATCATATGTTTATATAAATACCTAATAATTGTAAGAGATACAAAAATAATATACACTAGAATGTAGAACCTAAACTTGACTTGAAAACGAGATGGGTTGATGATTCACAAATGAAACTGATGAGGAATAATTTGGTCCTCCGAATAACATCATGATACGTGGCATCTAAGTGATACTTCAGCATTGAGTAATCAGATCACCTCGACCTGACCGGCCAACCGACTTAATGGTCTTTAGTATAAGGAGCGACGTCCTTCAGGATTGGCCAAGCTAAGTAGGGTATAAGTGTCGACCTACAAGGTGTGTTCGTCGACTTATTACATAGATCCGTTACCAAGACTGAGATCTTCGAAGTGATAACACTCGACCATTAAACCGGCCAACCTGCATCATCCGCATCAACATCGATCGGATGAACTTTAGCTCTCGGGCTAGACTTAGACTTGAATATATTCTATTAATA